ACGGCAGTGGCGTTTGCTTCATATTGAAAAAACAAAATTCAACAACATTTGTGCATCACCCGAAAGGATCTCTAAACGAATAGTTTTGCTCTCGCAATATCTATATAAATGCATTTCTCAATAATGCATGAGCTGTTCACGTGTTTCTCAAGTATGCATAAATCACGCGCGTTTTGAAAAATCCGTCAAAAATTGATCTGCGCCACTTTACGTTAAATAATATTGATCATACATGAAATCAATTTTCATATTTTTCAAAACCGGAGTGCGCAACACTTCCGCCGATCTCCACCACTGTAAATTAACTTCAATTCTGGTTTAACTTTGTTTTTATCTCTTTTTCTAATTCTAAGAATAAGAAAAAAAAAATAAAAAATAAAGTAAATCGAGACTAAACTAATAATTTACACTGATGAGAAATCGTCGGACATTCGTCGTGAATGGCTCATCGTATCATCGTTGCAGCATTATCCATAATTATTAAAAGTTAGATTAATCTTTGATTTTCAGTAATTCCTTCTCGCCTCTTTACGAGCGATTAACACGCATAACGTCGCATAAGAGATAAATAAATCCATCTAGTGACTATGATTTTTTTTCATTAACAAAGAATCCAAGAGTACATTCAGCTCTACAGAGATCGATATTAGCCATAAATCTATTCTTCGGCATTGGATTTGTGGGGGAAAACAGCGAGTATTTCATTTTTCTTTCGTTCCCTTTTACATTCGCGCCTCTTTCTTAAACTTTTGCATACGGATGCGTACGCATATATGTATATTGATTTTACTTTATATAATCCCATAAACACATTTTCGTTCATCAAAACGCATCTGCACTTCACACTTCAACATCAAACAACACTCTCGCCGTGTAATTCGTGCCGCATACTTGCGTTCTGTTTATACCAAAAAATTAATCGAAGCGCTATTTATAAACATTTACAAGTTGATTATCGATACGCGAAACAATTGTCGAGAGGCGAAAATAAGAAAAAGAAAGATTTTTCGATCAGGTAATCTTTGCACATTTGTACTAAGAACGATCACAAATCATCTGGACTGCTTTGTTTCCATCAACCGTTTGCAAATTAACCGTTTAAGCATTTTCGTTGTGTAACATGATTCATCTTTAATGCTTTTACGCAAGGTAGCGATGATCGTTTCAATAAACAAAAGATTTCAATCTACGTGAATGATCATCAAAAATAAATTTCTACAGTACACTGTCGAGTCTACCACGAAAAACATGCTAATTGCTCATTTCTATCAATGTAGATTAACTTTAATCTCGCGCGATTTACTTTTTACCCTCTCTTAAGTTTTAAGAATTAGAAAAAAATAAAGAGGGAAATAAATTAAATCGAGATTAAAATTAATCAACGTTAATGAAATGGATCTATCGTGTATATATAATGCACAAGTTTGTTTAAATAAGCACACGCATTCTACGATAGGCACGAAAATGTGTAATTAATAATACCAAATATATCGTGTGTGTGTGTGTGTGTGTGTGTTTATGTATGTGTGTATATATATATTTACTAGCTATCGTGTACACGGTAATGAAAACAGTGTCGATGTTCGTATGATAGGAACGATTGAACACTATACATTGCTAAAATACGTGTAATGTTCTAATAAAAAATAAACTAATCTTGGAAATATTTTTTGAAAAACCCTTAAAAAAGGGCATTTAAGAAAACCTGGATTATCCAGAAATTCTACAACACGGTCCTAATGTATCAAATATATTTCTTTACTTTCCCTTTTATGAGAATAAAAAATATATAATCCTTTTCGTATAAAAAAATAAGATCTGTAAAAATGTTATAAAATAGAACGGAAAATTTCATAAATTTAATTAAAATAAAAATATCTTATGCTCTACGATGCAATGTAATGTCGTAATATGTTGTAATATGTTATTCGTTTTGCGGTATTATCTTACTGTCACTGAATTTGAGCAAGCTAATATTGAGTAGTTATGTAGTCGAGTAATGTTTCGTCGCAAGTGGAAACTCGATAAATTAACTGAATAGTAAGATACATATATTGGTTGGAAATTATATATTATCATATATTGACAAATATGTTATATGCAATATTATACATAATGTTGCATCAGAGATCTTGCTTATTATTTGTGTAAACATAGCAGCGATAGGAACTGTGAGCAGAATTGCGAGCAATATTTAAGTTAAAAAAAAAAAAAGAGAAAGAAAGAAGAATCTGAATAAAAATAGCATAGTGGGATATCAATCAAAGTCGCTATTATCATAAGAAATCTCATAATGGGAGCTTTATTTACTTGCAGGATTCTTTTATTAGATATAGATATACCGTAAAAATTATTTTATCCGTAACAAAAGGATTGTATAACAGAAATGCCGGGTTGCAAAACATGGCCCAAAATATTCTTCTAATATAAAATCAACGTGTCTCCCAAATGCTACGTGAGATATCGGTACGAGAAATACGAAAAAAAACAGTTATATAACAGTTGCAAAAAGGAATTGAGTCGCCGTAATAATCCTCATGTATATTTGCTAAAGTGCGAAAAGTGCATTGAATATCAACTAATCGGTAGCGTATTTTCAACTTTTGCACTAAACTCATCTCTGTCTCTCATTTACATAGAATAAATATACAAATAAATTATCGGCTCGAGATGGATTAATTCTATGTCAGTGTTTCTCGGCATCGGAGGATGAATAGAGTTTTATGTCTTCAGTCTAAGATCGGTGGAGGACTTAATTATTCATACAACGCAGTCGGGGCACGCGATTCGCTTAATTTTTTTTTAAAGTGTAAATGCTGCTTGTCCCTTTTTATACTCGATAGCTCCTCGATCTTCCCCCCCCCCCCAACACATCGATACAGATATACATTGATTCTATCAGGTCTATTACTCTCCAAGTCTCCGCTTTGCGATTTACGTTCAAACGTTCAAACGAATCACATGCTCAGTTAATCGATCAATATGCACATCAACAGGCACACTCTTCTGCACTTTTTTTTTTTTATAATTACACGATTTTCCAGACATAATTACGTACTACCTTAAAATTCTCCGGTTAATTCTAATATATTACAGAACTATCAAACTATAGGCCTAAACTTTTAGCGATCGCGCGCCGTTCTTATAATACGGAGACTCGCGG